ACCAGTAACCACAAATCCAAAAAAAAGTTGGGATAGGAGCAACAAATGAACTGAATAGGTAACAGTTTAGTAACAGCACTGGGTACACAAAGAGCTTTTTTTAGAGGGTCTCAGATGTAAAGATGGCAGAAGTCTGAAAAAATGTGYATAAAAACAAAAGAGAAGTTGAAAAGCCTGCCTCTCTAATGGGATGGGTGCGTTCATGCATGTGGTATGGTTAGTTTATGCACCTGGAAAGGCACAGTTAATGCAGAACAGTACGTGCAGGTTTTGGAACAACTTGTGCTTCAATCCAGCAAAGAAAATCCAGGACTGATAAGWTGCTGCCATCAAATCAAAATCATTTGATTTAAAGTGGGGTATTATTCAAAATCAACTTTTTTGAACTTTATGTTATGTTAAAATAAATAAAATATTCTTATTCTGATTAATGCCATTCCCTCATCAAAAAATTAAAAAAATACCCACAGTGTTTCTTTGATTCATTCATGCATGTTTGAGAAATCCTTGAATCTCCTGTGGTARCCATGTGGAGCTGCCTAAGTGCTTGCTGGTACAAAGCTCCGCCTATATATACAAAGCTCCGCCCTGGAGCTCAGACTGCAGCCAAGTACCCGCCCCACAGAGCACCCCTCCCCTGAAGCATTGTTGTAATGACATGCTGAAGTGGGAGTGCCAGAAACGGTAGGAGGTTCTTAAAGAGACAGAGGTCAATTTCAAGGCGTTTCGTGGATTTATTTTAATATAAACAGCATTTTCATAACTGAAGATAGCAGTTACTCGATTGGGGTTTAGAATTGAACTATGTGRCTGGAAAATACATAATACCCCCCTCCACCACCACCTTTAAAAAATACATTTAATAATTCCTTAATTTCRACATTTGATAGGTTTACTGTGTTACATGATTTTGAGATTTACAAATCAATGCATWTTCTTTGTATATTACACAACTTGTCACAACTTTCCCTCAGACTTTGGGTTATATTTTAAATGACTTTAAAAGACCAACCCTAAACAGAAGACATCTTCTGTGTTCTTGTATTTTTGAATCATTTGAAAGATCGTCTGCTGGTCAAGAGTACCTCAGCAGTTTTTAGYAACATTTTACTTTAAAAGCCAGAGCTGGCCACTCTACTACTTTCACTGTAATGCTTTAACTGCTGACTACATCACAAGCCAGTAACACTTCGGAAGTTATTGTAAAAAAGGAGCTTTTGCTACACWAACACCACTTCTTCTCAATGAAACAGACCGAACTGACAAGCCTTTGTCTCCAACAGCCCCAGAACTGGATCACAGTCGGCCACCGAATCAAAACAAACTATCTCAGCCCCTTTTTAGSGTCAGTTATTCTAGCAGCATCCACAGAAATCCCCCCAGCGCCTGTTTTTCTCTGAGTCTTTGGGAAGTGCTGATGGTCAGCACGCAGCAGGCTATGCCAGCCTCCCCATCCCCTCTGTAACTCTGACCCATGGGGGCTTTTGTCTTTCTATGCTGTTTACAACTGGGATAGTGCTGAAATGGCAGGGGCGTTCTATGGGGCACAATGTGACACCTCGAGGCAATAAAAGAAGTGACCTCAGCACCACTGTAACAACAGATACTAACATTTATGTGCAGCCTGTGACCTGAAACTCACGACATTCTTCTTCTTATCATCTTATCTTATAATATTTATTCAAAATGTCAACTGCAACCAAAAGGTTAGAGGTTGAGTCCAACTACAACTGATTATTAACATATGATGTTGATCCAGTACAAGATGGCTGCAACACAAGCACTAATAAGACTTTAAACAGGCAGATATTTCATCAGATTGTGCATAACCTTATTTTTTAAAGTTCACCTAAAAATCTAAAACTCCATAATTTTAACACAACATTTTGAAATACAAGGAGTGGTACGAATTTGATTTATTTTGACACGCTGTCCATCCGCACCGTGTGTGTGTGTTAAAAAAGGTGACAGAAGGTTATCCATATCTGTCCCTGGGGAATCTAAATGGTGCCAAACAAGATTTTAGAGGCATTGTTATTGCGCTAAGGCATTAAAGTTTAAACACTTAAGTATCCATTAAACATATATGGCACACATGCTGCTTAAACAGAAAACAGCTGGCCCRAGTTGTCTTTGATCCATAAAAAAGGCTTTATGACTAAAACATTTATTGATCTTTAGATGTTAATGTTTTATGTGCCGGACATTTACAGGCAGAGGACGATGTGGTCTTTGTACAGAAATGAACCCCTGTCTAAGATTGTCCTTTAAAATCTGTGAGCCCTGTAAGACCACCGGGGTGTGCTGGTTCAATCTGCAAATATCTTTGTTTACTCAGGTGTGTGACAGGTACATTGACTAGAATTCAACTCCCCCTAAAAATATCTTGCTGTATAACAACAKAAGGAGAATGGTGGACATTTTATAAGCTGCAGTCAATGAAACAGCAGAACTYTGTTTATGCATTGATAATAAAACTCTGCTAATTGGGGCCTTGGATTTACTATCCTTGTAAATCAGTATACTGATTTAAGATATAATTAGAATAAAGGCTGTAAAATGTAATAAGATTTGCCAACTTTTAAGTTACTWTGTTTTGTGGGTTTTTGAACCTGACTGGTGCAAAATAATAATAATTAAAAAAAAAACACTCAGATTTCTCTCTAACTGCCTGGAAAACTCTCATTTGTTACTCCTATGATATTTTTAGCCAGGCATAACTTCCAAAACCAAWGGGTTTTGTTTAAGTTAACAGGAAAACTGTCCATCGATGTGTTTTAGTGTCATTTTGGGTGAGATTGTCCATTTTAAAACCAATATATTCTGCATTTTAAATTCCCCACTTCATTATGTGTAAAATTTCAAACCGTCTTCACAATTTAAAGCTGAGTGTCGGTGACAAAACGTTTGTTTACGTTGGTTTCAATAATGTGTTCGCACATGCTGTTGCTAACTGATTTTTGTTATGAATTTGTGAATAAATGTAAAAAGGTAAAGCTTGTAAGTAGCTCTAATAAATGCTGTAAACTCTTGAAATAAATGAAATTTTAATTCTGAACACAACAGCTGAGACGAATGGCTAATATACGACGAAAGATGGATTTTTAACAGTTTAAATGTACGATCTTTATTATATTATCTTCTTCACGGACTGTTTTTTTTTTGTAAAGTTAAAGGTAGCTTAGAAATATACTTATTTTACATTTGTTTCCATATTCGATTGGATAAAAAGATCTATGCTGGTTTCATTCCAAGGCAGCATGACTGTGAAACCGCCTGGGCCTGAAACCGAGCCAAGCCTCATTGGTATTCCTGGGTGCTGCTGCTAACTAAAAAGTATTGATGAGCTGAGAGATGCACGTGGCCTCGATACGTGACTCTGGACTCCATCAGAACACGAGTCACTCTGTGCCGCTCTTGTCCTTCAAGAGGAGACTGTTAAACCTCCAAGGCATGTGTTGTTGTTGTTGTTGCTGCTGCGCAGGATGCTTAAATAGAAAGTCACGGTGCGAATCAACAAGTTAACAACCCCGTTATAGCAATTATCTGAGAGAAATGATTCTAATGAACAACAGGACGATCCTGAGGGAAGAGCAGGTTCAAGTGCAGACAAACGGAGAGGGCTTGATTGGTGCGGGGAGGGGCAAAAGGTGCAAGGAGGAGGGGTCTGATTGGCGGTGTTCTGGCAACGCAACAAGCTGGCATTCCCTTCCGTTCCCTCCTCCACCCATCTGTTCATCGGGATTACTCATGGAGAGGGGTGGAAGGGAGGTGAGAGGAGAAATGCAGAGAAGAAATCTAATCATCACAACCTGCAGCAGCTGAACTGAACCACTTTCTTATAAAACACTGTGATAACTCACCATTTAAATTATRGATCTGAGTGCTCTCATGGGACTGTTATGGTAACAGCAATGTTAATTAGAAGTAGACATACTGTAGTGAAGGGTTATACAATAATCTGCTGCTCTACTGGAATATTTCAAAGGATTTCCACATGATGCAGCAGGCTGTATACAAATATTAAAAACCTATATATGGTTTGGTAGCAATGCAAACCAAGGATAATTTATAGCAGGTGCATTGGTACAACTCTTCACTGAACTGTAAGGATAGGATAATGATAATAATAATATGATAAAATATGTGAAAAAGATAAAAATGCAACTTCGGTTTGTTACATAGCTTGGCACCATTTCAGTACAAAAAGTCCCAATATGAGGTGTTTGTTTAAAAACGTGTTCAGTCAGTAATAATTATTGTAGTTCTTTCAAATAATTTATCAGCTGCTTACCATTTGCCAATTTGTGGCTCCACACTCCCTTTTTCATGCACTTAAGATAAATTGAGGTCACCACAGGCTAACAAACAAAGTACTTTTTTCCCAGCACAGCTTTAAGGCGGTTTTGTTTGAATCTAACGAACAATCTTCCACAAATTTCACAGTCACACAAAGGAACAGCGGCAGTCATTATGCTTCAGTTTGTGCTTGAATAACTAATTGGCTTTGCGGTGCAGATACTGCATATGCAAAGACAAGACTGCAGAGGGTATAAATCACTCACTGCCAGCTGTGAGTCATGCTTCAAGGCTCAGCACTTTAGTTTATGCAAGCTGACCCTTTTTTCCCTTTTTGTTTTGGACATGGTCCATTGTAAGAAAAACATCTTATTTTTTACAAAAAGTCTTTTTTTAATCTGTGTTTTCAAATCACATAGACCTAACCAGAGTTACACATCAAGTAAGAAAATGCATGTTATTGTTAAATTACTAAATTATTTGACAATGTTTCCTCTGCTAGCTAAATAAAATGAGCCCCAGAGTGAAAAAAAAACTCAACATGGCATTTCAGTCATTAYATACACCATTGTACACATTACATGTATAACACCGCTTTGCAGCCTCTAAAATCATATGACACATATTAAAAACTACCTCACCCACACAGACCAGCTGGATTTGTGGCCAATTTATCCATCTAATTGACACAGCCCACTCACCAGTTCGGACTAAATCTCAGCAGCTCCGTTGTCAGATAGTGGGTCAAATCTGCAAACATAAAGCAAAATATTACAATGAGTATGGTAGTTTTTTATATATATATACACATGTTATTAAAAATTTCTTTCAAAAAGATGCAAAAGTGTAACATCAGCTACAATTAAAAGAAAAAAAAGCATCAAACCAAATGAACGACCTTTATTGTCAACGTTATATAAAATACAATGAAATTTTGTATGGCTTTCTTTATATTTTATATTTTGTGTTTATCAAACATGTTTACTGTGTAACTTAGATCTGATTAAACGAAGTCTAAGAGCTATGAATGATGTAAAAATGCCCCCAAAAGACCAGATTATCATGGGACACCTTATAGGTTCTAATAAAACTAACTAAATAYGGTTTGCATGTACTTGACAAAGGGAATCATTTAGTCCTCAAAGCAAATAGAGTTCACTCATCACACAAAGCCATTGTCACACAATCACTTCCTAAGAGAGGTGCACATTTATTACAATCCCCAGAGATTACCACATTAATGGCCATGTCTTACTGAACACAYGACTGTTAATCAGCAAAACTGTCCCTTTTATTGCTTCTACCTCTAGCAGGTGCACGCACAAATTAAAGCTAACCTACTAACACACACACACACTGTGCCCTCTGCCTGCCTTCGTGACCACGAATGCATTATCAAGGCCTCCAGAGACATTCTCCTTTTATCTCACATTAGCAAGAGCAAATGTATCAAACAAAGACAGCACACCAAGAGATGAAGCTCTAAAACTGGAGTTAGCTGAAAGGTGATAGGCTTTTAGAATATTTATTTATTTTTATTCATAAAACACAAGCATTTAGCTTATTCAGGACATGGTTGTGACTTTTTTTACTGTTATTATTTGAAATAAATGACTATATTAACAAACAGAGCTCTCTTCAGCTTCATCAGAAACATCATTCTCTTTTGTACTACCTTTTGCTAATCTAGCTTTTAGCCAGACTTTTGCTTTTGTTAGCTTCTTGATAGCCTTTTGCTACTTTTAGGTTCTAGATTGTCTTAGGTTCTAGATAGCCTTTAGCTACATTTGGGTTCTAAATAGACTTTTGTTACTTTTAGCTTCAAGATAACCTCTGGCTATTTTTTTAGCTTCAAAATAACATCTTGCCACTTTGAAACTTCAGCTAGACTTTTGCTACTTTTAGCTTCTAGATAGCTTTTGCTTCTTTAGCTTTAAGCTATCCTTTGACTATATTTTGCTTTTAGCTAGTGTTTTGCTTCTTTAGCTAGTGTTCTGCCTATATTAGCTTTGACAACTCTGATTCAGCCTCTCCAGCAAATTGCAGCATGCATTCACACTGTATTTTTAGTAAAATTTAATTTGTATTAATTAAAAGAGCTACTCTAACCAACTGAGTTGCTATAATAAGAAAGACGACGTCTTGTTTCAACTTTTAATACGTTTCTTGCATCAAATCTGTCTTTTCTTCAGGCAACTCAGTTTACTGATCTGAACAGGCTGAACTGGATCAGTTCTACTCTGCTGACTGATCTGCTTTTGAACTTGGTCCGCATTGATCTTATCTGAGCTGAACTGAAACAAACCGAGCCGAAACAAGAGGCAGCAGACGTGTGCGAGGGGTGGGGGGACGAGGGGGCGTCAGAGCCTAATGAATGGAGACAGCAGCGCACTGAGACATCAGAACAGAGGCAAAGAGAGGAACATAAGAGAAGAAGCCACTGAGATAGAGAGAGAGAGAGAGAGAGAGAGAGAGAGAGAGAGAGAGAGAGAGAGAGAGAGAGAGAACATGAAAAAACGAGGAGTGAGTAGAGATCCGACACATGCATTATTAAGGAGAAAATCTAAAAGCGCTTCATCATCAAAGAGCAAGGAAGGGGAGGTGGGGGGGAGAGTCGGAGTGCAAAATGAGAGAGGAGAGAAATACTGGGAGGAACCGACAGAGCTGACCCCATGCTCCAGCACGTTGCTGTGGAGACTGAAAAAAAAAAGAGACAAAAATACTCCTGCAGCGCACTAACTCATCTTAGAACATCTTAAAACACTGTTAAATCTGTGCAAAACAAGAAAACCAAAGAAGTCATTTAATGTCATGACATTTAGTTAGCTTTAAAGGCGATCGGAGACAGCTAGGTTTGTAGTTTGCTCTAAAAGCTTCACTCATTAAACATAAAATGAAAACTAAGGGAGAAACTACCAGAACAAGTAAAATGTTTAGGTCATTTCAGGTGAAAAACCACCGAAACTGAATAAAATAAAGCAGCCTTTATTGTCCGGCGTGGGGGTCCTGATGCCACTCTTTTCTATTTTTCTTTTAAGACAAATGTAAATATTAAACATAATAAAACATGGCATGTATTAAGATTGATAAGACAAAAACAAAAAAGTAATTATACAATGGTTAAATAAAAAATACAACTTGTGTATCTTGTCATAGAAAAGTGATGGGTGCAGGCTGCAGTCTCAGACCGAGTCAGGTGGATGTGTTTAGTCCCTCAGMTACCTGGACCTGAGGAGATGTGACACCTGTATATTGCAATGTGACATTGTCAACTGTAGCAATAATAAAGATAGTAACAATAAAAAATAAACATAGATCAAAATGAAAATAAGAATAATAGTTACTGTACAAGACTATCAAGATGAAATTAGATAAAAATGAAAATAAAAGCAAGATACCGTGCAGGAAAATACAAAAATTACAGGAAAAAAAATGCCATGACAGACTCATGATCCGAGGGGTAGAGATGGGAAAACTACAAATGGCTCGTTACTGCCCGCAAATCGGTTGCAAAGAGCCGTTCAAAAGATTGGGATCGTTCATGAACGTCACAGCTCTACTGAGGGGGTGTGCAAAATGAGTCGAACTCAGGGGTGTGCAAATTTAGTCAAAATCAGTCATTAAGTCAGTGTTCCAGTACAGGAAAAACGTCGTACAATTGCCACTGGTTATTATTTATGTAATGAYTGAGAGGTAGAGTTGTTGGGCGTGCAAACACAAACATGGATGCTTATCAAGATTGTTAGGAGCAGTGATGGTTATAGAGTTTTTTCAAATGGGTTGAAAACATACGTTAGCTAGCCAAGTGTTGAACTGTTAGCCGACTTGTTTAACTGCAAAGCAATAAAACAAACATATAATGAAGGCCACCGTTTGTTAAGATTTTCCACCATCTACTAATGCTGTCGAAACCACTGGCACGGTGCCTGCTTTGATTTAGTCCCCTGTTTCAATTAGCCTCCTGGTTTTATGGATCCACTGGGAGCCAGTAAACTGCATGTGTCTGATTCTGCAACTGACCCCCAGGCGTGAGTAGAAATCTGTGTGCATCTGAAAATCCCTCAGGAATCAGAAAAAGTAGCAGCTGCTGGACAGGCCTTAAACCTCAACTCCTCTAATTTACACAACTTCAAAATAACATTATGTGTACATATGAATTCTGCAGATACAGTACTTGCATTTTAAACTGAACTTTGTAGCTTTGATTTAAAATTAACTAAGTGAAGTTTAATCAGCCATGATTTCCATCTATACACTTGAAGTCGCTCGTCTATGATGAAAAGGAGGGCAATCTTTCTATGCAAGAGATACATTGTTTAAAGTTTAATATCCACATTACAATCAATAAAGAGTGAGTCTGACTCTTGTTGGATAATCTCAGGAGCCCATGAGCAGGAGGTCTGAGGGTCAGAATCCACACACCAGCTGCCCCAGAGTCGAGCAAACCGCAGGAAAACAAAAGCAACACTTGATGAAAGGAACTTTTGCAGCGTTTTTGTGTTCACGTCCAAGTACAAGTACAATAAAGACAAAAGGAGTGCGGAGCAGAGCAAGGGAATCATTGCTAGCTGTAACACCTGGGAAGCGAAAACTACTCTCCGTGAAACCCTGACAGCTGTTTTGTTTAATGTCAGACATGCCATCTGTGTGTGAAAAGGTTCTGGTTTCATTATCTGTGTGTGTGTGTGTGTGTGTGTGTGTGTGTGTGTGTGTGTGTGTGTGTGTGTGTG